TGTTACTTCATCAGTGATAAGGAACTTGTGAAACAGAGTGCAGAAGTGGTATATCCATATGGAATGAATGAAAAAGGAAATGTTACCACTAACTGTGCTGCTCTGTTCACTATGCAGGGGGGATGATAAGAGGGACACCTATATATAACTAGAGAACACATATAAGGCCCTTATGGGCTATCAGGAGAAGAAGATAATGATGATGACGACGGTGATGGTGTTGATGATGGAGGAGGAGGGGTTGGGTTATCCATTATGTATTTATGTCTGGAAGGACAGCACAACTCAGTATGTCCTGTGTATTGTGGTCTCTGGATAAACTGAGTTCTCACCAAAGAAGATGAGTGCTGGCTACTAGGATGCTGTGCGCTTGTGCTGCTCTGCAAAGAAACATGCAATTCCTACAGTAATTAATCTAACAGTGGTGAGTAATGGAGCTCTGGATCAATGTTTTCTGATCTGTGGATACCTACCATACTGTACTGAGATGGTCTACTTTACTTACCAGTGGCAGGGTTTGTATAAGTGCAGACGCAGTAAACTGGAAGATTACTCTCCTATAGTGTGTGCTCTCATGTACTGCAGTAAAGGTTCATGCTCTACTCGTCTCCTAGCAAATGCTATTAACTGTTACATTTTCTCCTGTTTCCTTGCTGCTCTTTCTTCAGCATCTTTTACCTTTTCCTTGCATCAGCTCTCCTTCTGCTGCTACTCTCCCCTTTATCCCCTTCCAATTGCCTGCAGCACACTTGAGCTACTTTCCTCCCAACTTCTCCCATCACACTACAGACCTTTTCAGGGCCAGTAGTAGTTAGTTTTCCCTTTGTTCCTGATGGTTCTCCCTGAGAAACTTTACAGGCTTCTATCAGAGTCCAGTTTTTTATTTGTGGCTTGCTGTGCTTCTTATTTGCTTTTTGCTTCTTACGTGTTTGGCATACTCTTCAACCCTGAAGATAGAAGCAGTATGGTCCTACAAAATATCTTAAGTGAATGTATGGCAGATTACACATTGTCGCATGCCGTCAGGTAGTAATCTTTATAATTATCAGTGTGAGAACCTCAAATCTAACACAGTAGTTATCTTATTAAAATGTAGATTATATTAGACACATAATTAAATGGTCTCACGCATCTGGATATAAAATTGTGTTCATGATGGAAGTCTTATTTAATAGCAGTAACCCCACTTATGGAAGTGGTCAGGAAGTGAGAGACAAAGGATTCAGTTGTTTGCTTACCTCTTGTTTGTAGTTTGCAATATCTCGGAATAGTGCCTCATCTGTAGAGCCAACACCAAAAAGCATAAGTCCAAGATCTGTTTCTGCTGTGCCCACACCAACAACACCCGAATAGGTTAACAGCCCTGAAATTATCACATTCAACTCAGAAAATGGCGGAAGATAAATTTGTAATAAAAATATATATAATTCAATTTAATATACTTTTTAATTAATTAATGTAAAGATGGTATGAGGGTGTTGAGGAGAATATTTGGACTGAAGCGGGATGAAGTGACAGGAGGTTGGAGAAAACTGCATAATGAGGAGCTTCATAACTTGTACTCTTCGCCAAGTGTAATTAGAATGATCAAGTCAAGGAGGATGAGGTGGGCAGGGCATGTAGCACGAATGGGGGAGATGAGGAATGCATACAGGATATTGGTGGGAAAGCCAGAAGGAAAGA